GTTCAGGTTTACTAGAATTTGCTTGAGAACTGGGAAATGAGGGTGACCTGTGGTCTGTTTTCTATAAACATCAACAGGGAAAAAAAGCAACACAACCCTGATTCACCAAAAATGTACCCAGATGACCTTAAAGTCAATCCCTGAAGGTTAACGTTCAAACAAAGCACAGCACGCTGAAGAGTATTTTGCTGGCACAGCACTGTGAATGTTTAAAGCAGCAGCAAGGCTGGTGTCCCACCACGTGCAGCGAATCACCGGTGCTCGTCAGGCGCAGCCGCCCAGAAATGACTCTTGCTTCAGAAAAGAACAAACTGGTCCACCACGATTTCAACTCCACAACCGAAATCTTCAGAGGATGCTGATGCTGCTAAAGGTAAGCCCAAAGTATTAAGGAACTGGAGGGGATGGGCTCAGCCCAAAGGATACTGGAGCACCAGTATATGGAATACAGATGGTCAGAAATTTTACAGCAGACATTTTTTCATCATAAATCACCACTTCCAAGACGTGTCACTTTTGACAACTCTAACAAACCTCGTACTAGATCCTGCTAGCTCACTTTATCTAGCTCTTTGGCAAGCCATCAATGTCAATCATCCTAAACTACCCTGACATGTGGTCTATCTTAGGGTTAGAGGCTTCGGGCCTTTAGTCTCGCTGGCTTGCAGGGATCAGTACTCATCCTGGGAAACCCAGCTTCCACAGCAGTCTGCATGCAACTCTGACACCTCTCTACCTGTTGAGAGGAAGTGAAAATACATCACATTTACCTTGACTTTGACCACACTTGTTTGTAAAGTAACTCCCAAAATACTTCAAGCAATAACCCTCTGCCTACCGACCATTCTTTAAGGGCTATTTATGCATTAAAACAAGTTAAAAGAAACCTACTGAAAACTCCTTTAACACTTCTCTGTCCAATACTGCTCCTGCTGCAGAACATCTCTTCCCTCCTATTTCTCATGTAGCCCACTCCATATCCCCAGGCTACCTGACAAGCTGCCACCTGTTAGAGAGAGCTATGTGCATGGCCATTCGGTAATTTCTGCCAAAATAAGAGAGATGGCAGCAGATTTTTCCCTTCCCTTTCCCATAGCACTGAAAGTAAGGACTTGGACCTAGCAAGACAGCTAATCATGAGCACAGAAACAGTAACACCTTAGTACGTGCAACCTCCATCCCCTCTGTCCGACAGGAAAGCAGCCAAAGGGTGCAGGAGTGACGGGGAGGAGAGGGGTTATCTGAGGAACAGGACATTCACATGGAGGCAGTGCAATTATGCAGGTCTCATTTCCTTACGAAACTGGGCTAAAACTCATAAAACTTGCAGAACTCTTCAATAATAGGAGTGCTATTTTGAGCCTTTTTTTCCCCCCCCTAAGATATTTAAGCCAATCTGCATTTAATTCACATTTTCCAAGGAAGAAGAGTTCTTCGCCTTTCCTTTGCTGCCTGATGGCAGAACTAAATCCAGAAAGAAAACAGATTTCAAATACTACATGCTGTAAACTTTGAATGGGGAAAAGAACAAAGCAACGCGATTCTCTTCCAAATTCAGTTTGCTGATCAGGGGAAAGCTCGGTAAACTCAGAAAATGACGACACAAGCATATCATGCAATAAAAATGACATTTTTACGGTGAAGCAGGAACTCACCAATCTCCTTTTGTTAACCATCCTGAGGAGACCAAACACATACGCGCATGTGCCTGTAAATGCACTGTAGAGATTTTCAAAGCTCAAGAGACTCAGATTAAGTAGTGCTAAATGAATTCTTACATTAAGACACACAAAAAACCAAAGAAATTCTCTACAGCCTCACTATTGTGGTATGTAATACCTCAGCAAGGCAGGAACCTTGTCACTGGTTCTAGCAAACTAATCTTGGACTAACAGAATAACCTCTAATAGATCATCACTCTGTACAGTTAGATTACTGCAGTCCACTGATTACCTTTACCAAGGCCCATTAAGCAGAAAACAGCATGCCAAATCCCACTGTTTCAGAAACATCAGTCTCTCTCCTCATCCTCTGCGTGGAAGAGAACTGCAGCAGCAGGCTGCAGCTGCTCCCCAGGAGACCAGGAGGGTAAGAAATACTGCAGATGTTGCATGACCAAGACCTGGGAAAACATCTTCAAATATGATCTTGGCCACATTCACAACTTCCAGCCCTTTCTACACAGATCAGAATTTACAGAAGATGGGACATTTTGACAAATTATTTAAAAGAAAATTGGTTCACCTCAAGCAAAACACTGAACTTGAGGTTGTCTCAGTCTCTGGAACAGAGGAAGGTCTAAGAGGTATGGACTTCAGTCTCATCCCTACCTAACTCAGCCAAGTCTTGTTTAAGAAGCCTTGCTCACTGTAAAACATTTAATACTGGGCAAACTATTCTAGAGATGGACTAGTGGATTTATAGACCTGTTGGTAGAGGAAGACATCATTCTTCCCTTTCTTCTAGTGTTTCAACAGAACTACTTACTATCGAAGCATAGAATTATCTGGACTAAACTCGTCCCTTCAATACTGCAGAGATGTGTCTAATGGTGCTTTCATGCTGTGCCATACTATAACAAACATACGGAAACGTATGAATTACAAGCTTTTTTTGGTAAGGTGGCTCATAAAACTGAAAATTAATGTAAAACAAAAAAGCAAACCTACACAGAGTCCTACGAGCTGTTATTCCTGCAGGCAAAGGTGCCTTTTAATAGCAAGCTAAATCACAACACACAGGAATACTTCCAAGTGCATTCACTCACCTCTGAAGTTTCGCCGCAATTTTTAGTCCGAATGCTACCAGGTTTTGTTTTACTTCATTTACGTATGGTATTTGCCAGTGGACATTACCTGATCAAAGAATTATATTTGGACATCCCCAACCACTTTCACTGCTCCATTAGAGAAAAATCTTAGCAGTTCACAAAAAAATAATGAGTAACAGCTGTCAAAATACTGGAATTATTAAAAAATCTGAAACTGAGGTTGGAGTACCAAGATGCCTACGATAAAGTTCTACTACCATAATGTGAAAACTCACATCCCATCGAGTGTAATAAGTTATTCATAAACCTTATTTTTAGTAAAATTTTAATAAAAACGATGCTTTGCATTTTCACATTCTGAAGAGCTAAAAATACAACAGAAACTTATTTACATTTTATAACAGCAAAAACGTACAAATTGCTATACAAAACGCAGTACCATCTCAAGAAAAACAAGTTTTTGGAAGTTCTAGCAGTTAGGACATTAAAGCTGTATTTTCTGAAGAGATACCACTTTAAAGACTAAGTATCAATAACTGAACAGTGATTTTCTTCACTGAGTTAATAAAAAACGTTTCCATGGCAATTATGAATATAGTTCTTTTTAATGTTGGCTGACATACCAAAAATACAACCTCATAATAAAAGTTACTGAATTTATAACAAATCAAATTCAATATATATACTTTCCCGTGAGGTTTCTGCCACAGAACTTTTCAAAACAAGAAAAGCATAGAAACTTCTTTTTAAGGAAGTAAGTCTGGCAAGAGGTAAGTTTTATAAAAACCCTGCATCTGTAAACGCTCAAGCCCTGCAGATTTTTAAAGTTACTTCAAAATTATACATACGGCAATCACTGTATGCTATCTGATACAGATGTTTTAGAGTGGAAATAGTTTGGCACAAGCTGAACCCATGGAATGGTAAATTTCGATTCACATTTATCTTTGAAACATGTAAGCACATTCTGATGAACAAAAGGAGACCTGACACATCTTTACTTCTAAAGATATGGGAAATCATACCATGTAGATGAAAAATTTAAAAGAGCAGCTCAGTCAGACCCTCAACTACTGTTCACGTCAATTGGGAGACAGTCACATCAATGCGTCTTTGGGCGCTTGGGCTACAAAAAGAGGTTGATTTGTGCCAGTTTCATGTATGGCTGAATGTGATTCTAGCATTTCAGATTGGGTGATCACTGCGATACCTGGAATGTAACTTCAGTCACGTCTTGGGTGTAAGAACCTAATGCATTTTAGTTAATGTAGTGAAGACTAATGCAAGCCCCCTACATTATACCACAACCTTTAGAAAGCTGATCGCTACGTATCGATTTGAAAGCCGACCCAAAGAACAGACATCAGGTCACAACGTAATCTGACATCAATAAATCTACAGTAGTTGTACTGGAGGAGCGACAGGAAACTGCTTCAAATTGAACACTGGCAGCTTTGACCAATGCAATGCTTCAGGATCATAGTTACTCTTAAAAGGGGACTGTATAAAAGTTGTAATCCTATTCCTAATCGAGGGGTGAAAAAAAGCCCCACAGCAATCAGTTCAAAGTAGTACGAAGAAACACTGTTCAAGTGCCCAAACTGTTTTTACATTCATTTGAACCCACGTCTCTGCAAAGGTGAAATATCCTGGTCTGGAACGTGTACGGTCCACTAACCTGACGTTAAAACCTGTTACTTAAGCCCATGAGTATACTATGATTAGTAGAAAATCTTAAGCAGACACAAAAAAAAAAGAAAGATGAAACTGCAGCAAGAGAGCATGGCAAACCTGAGAGATCTATTAGTGCATAAATCTGCTTAAAAACTAAAAAGATAGAAAGAAAGAGCTAACGAACTACAATAAAAGTTATGTCTTTAAAGCAGTAAGTTATAACAGGGTGGGAAATGTTTAATATGCACATCATACCTGCAAAGGGGTCACTATCTTTCTGAAAATAAAGAGCTGGGATTTTTCACAGCATCAGTTTTATGGTAAAAAGCCGTAAATTGTTTTTTTTTTTTAATATTATGCTTTTCCCACCCTGGCAGAGAATAAACATGAATTTAGAAGCACAGTAGAAGTGAAAAACAAAGAAGAGGAGAGATAGAAAGCAGCAGAGAAAGACAGAAGAGGTGAATACAGAGCTACAGAAGTGTTTATTGAGCATGCTACAGAGGTAAGCAGAGTACACACAAAATGAAATTAAACAACCGTCAAACCTCCCAACTTTGTTAGAAAATTAATTTTTAATTGTGCCACTTTCAAACTATACTGAATTTTACAATTCTAAAGATGTAAAAACTCAACTAATAGAAAATATACATGACCATTTTTTTTGTCTACATAGATAACAGAATCTATGAATCTCGAAACTAAGTACATCAAATTTCAAAAAGTATTGGTCATTTAAACAGAATCAAGGAAACAGTTCAGACCGACAGAGAACTGCTTTCAAATTAACTGGATCTGTAGATTCTGAGCCATGTTTATAGTAAAGTCAGATCAATTTCTAAATACAAAATATTTTGAAGAGATTTATTAAAACTGAATATTACAATGCAAGGTAAATTAAGACTAAAGGCACATAAACTTTGGTCCCACCTGGTTGTCAGTTTTAGAAAACCGCCACAAAATTTCCTGCAAGCGTTTGCAGCAAACTTTCTTCATCACCGAAAAAAATACATGCACCATTTCCTGAACTAGCTTGACCGGTCTGTACATGCTCAGAAATCCACAACCATATTCCATATCTTAATTACAAACTAAAGATGGCAATATATATTGAAATGCACGTAAGTCATGTCAACTTCAAAAACATCTACGAAAAATATTCAGCCACAAACAAGACATTACTTAGTGCTGACATTTATATGATACATCCCACAAGAGTGTGTACAAAAAGGTTAAGATTCCACAATGCTTTTCACGTAGGGCTCAAAGTCACAGAAGTCACTTTTTGTCCTTTAAGAAATTAATATTCTGTACCTTGTTAACTAATGCCTACATTCGTAACTGAATCTAGACCAGAACCATGAAATACAAAAGGCCTTTGGAAAAGAAGAGCACAAAGCAAAAAGTAGCGAAAATCAAATAACGCCATTTTACTCTTTCAGCGTAATGCATCTTAGCCAATTAAAAAGAAAAGTAAGTGACAAGCCAGCAGATAACGAAATCTAAGCAGGAGAAACAAAAGCTTAACCTTTTTACACACCCCTGCCTAAACATACTTAGATTATCATGTAACAATGTGCCCCAGACAACCAAATTTACTTTTCACTAGCTACGCAATTCCAGCGGTACTAGTTTTCCTTTTTAAGGCACGTACGTCAACTAAGTTGAAAAACTGTGGTATTAACTCGAAATCTTTTAAACAAAATGATGGTTTCTCTAAACGACAGTTGAACAACAGCAGTTAGTATCACTGCTTTTCATTTTTTTAAAATCTATTTTTATTTTTTAAAACAACCAAGGAATGATAACAGCATGAAAAAAATAATAAAAAAAAGACGACGAACTCTGGTCCCCACTTTCCTGAACAGTCAATAGGTGACAACACCAAACAACGCAACGCACCCTCATTTCCAATCTGCCTTTTTAAATGGTTGACTTCGAGAAAGAGACTCTCAGATGGTGATTTTCTCCCAGATTGTAATTGTGAAGATCAATCAAAGCCTGAATAGCTTCTTCTACTGTTGACATCTGAAGAAGTGCCATCTTGTGATCTCTTCTGAAACAAAATAACGGCATTAGGAACTCGAACACTACAGGGGTTGCTCCTAATGTTTGCTATCCTCTACGCACTTTTCCTTAAGACGCGCTACAAAAGCGCACTTAGGCAGTCTTTTGCTAGAGCTGCGTACAGAAAAATTACTTACTGAAAAAATTTAAATGCTTTCACAGTGCCTCCAGTGTTAGCAAACAATGTGCGTAGATCCTCTTCTGCTACTGATGGCCTACAGACAGAAAGAAAATAAGCATAAGCAAGAAATTATGAGTCAGTTCAGCACGTTGTGATCCACATTAATGCTACTGGCTTCCTGGCAGACAACACTTACGGAATATTGGACAGATGAAGTGTTGCAGAAGGAGGGAATATATTTTGAAAGTTTTTCGAACCAGGTTTCTTGAAGCGATGCAGAGGTGAATTACCAAAATCCTTAGTCAGCCCTTGGTCATCAAGCCCCTCTCGAGGTAGTTGTACTGTCTGATGCTTAGAAAGGGTAACTCGAATAATCTTTCCATACATTTTTTGTCCATTAAGATGGCTCATGGCTGAAAGACAAGAGGGTTACTCAATTCAGTGCTACTTCTCAATAGCTTGTGGTACATTACACAAGCAAAGCAAAGGGTCAATGTGCTCAAAGACTGGAATCGAGAACTAGGTCTGCAGAATCTGCAGGAGAATTTAATTTTATTTAAAGACCATCACATGTGATCCAGCTGTTGGATTCGTGTAGGTTACTGTGCAGACCTTGTGGAACACAAGTGCATTCAGTAAGATTCTGGATCTTGCGGGTAACCAGGATCCAAGACAAACTGACAACTGTAAACATGCTTAGTTCACCTGATTTCACACAGCATAATTTCAAGTACTTCAGCTAACAGGAATACAAACAGAAAACTAATCTTACCCAGCTGTGACTGGTTTCCATCAGCCATCTGTATAAGAGCACTGTCTTTCTTATTGTATAAAATCTTCACGCGCTGCACATCACCATAAACACCTTTTCAAAGTCAAAGGTAACCCAAAAGAAAAAGTTCATTTTAAAGCCAGTCACCTAAGTAATACATTTTGACATATCAATGGAACATTCAGACAGCAACGAGATCACTCACTCCAACTCAACACTCTTACAAATGAATAAAGGAGATAAAGATTTTGAAAGTGAATTTTGAAAAGAATAACTTCTGATAAACCCTCAAAGCTATGTGAATGATATTAAATTAAAGATCATGCAAAATATATTAGCATGCATTAAAAGAAAATCTGTGTCTATGGAGAGTTTTAAACAGCAAAAGAAAAATAGCAAAAGATTTACTATTCAACTTTAAGCCAAAGTGCTAACTACAAATAAGAATTAAGGTGAAACAAAAAAAAAAACAACAACCAAAAACCAAACAAACAAAAAAACCAAACCAAACCAAAATCAAATCAATAATAAAAGTATAGTGCTAACAATAACATACCGAAGAGGGTAAACAGACTTTGGGGCGTAACCATCTTTAGAAGGAGAGAAGAGCAAGCAGCGTAAGACAAGAAGAGAGAAGAGTCGAGGATTTTTTTAGATGAACAGATCATCCATAACGAAGGGTGGTTCCCGCAGAATGGTGAGGTGGTCATGGATCATGGTTTCAAGGCGGTTAATTGGGGCAAGTTGGTCCGAGGAACATTTTGTTCAAGCACAGAAGCATGAACATAGGGAATGAAGACAGGGGACGTAGACAAAAGACGAGGAGAAGGGCAAGACAGGGAAGGGCACGGGAATTCGGGTAAGACAAGGAGAGGGCAGTTGAACACATCGGGAAAAGGATGAAATGGGGAAGGGAATACAGCAATGCAGAAGAAAAAAAATAAGGAAGTGGGGAACAAAAAAAAAATAAAATATAGGTCAGTACATAGGAAATGCAGGAATTTGGTCAGAAAATGGTTGGTTTATGTACTGTACAAGAAAAACTGAGTAAAATGTAGTCACCCAAGACAAATATGGGTAAAGTACATTCATATCAAGAGTAAACTACAGCATTTCATCTCAACATGAAAATAAAGTAAAAAAAGCATGCAATAGAAATTTTAAACTTTGAACTTCAACTGCGTAAGCATGGCTGGTTATGAAATGCAGGCAAAAAATCTTTCAAAATGGCACTCTGATATAAACATCTTCACATGCAAGACTGTGGATGACAAAATAGCACCAGATGATAAAAAAAGCTTCATGATTTACAGTGACAGAGGCCAGTTAAAAATGGAACAGCTAGACTGATACAAACTTCCCACATTTCATACCAGCTTTCACAGGCATCAAAATAAATGTAAAGGACAGTAAAAAATGCAAAACTAAATAAACCCCTTCAGAATTCAGAGTTAGCAAGAAAGATACAGTTAAAGTGAAAATGCTCTGCCACCGTTTTTTGGTTATTATTTTTTAAAGACAAATGAGTAACTGCAAAGAAAACAAATTACTAAGGGAGACTGGAAGAGTGCCTCGTCAAGATCTTTGGGAGAACCTTCAAAGAAAAATGTGTTAGAGTAGTTCACACAAATTAAGACCTTAAAATGTGAGATACAAGCATGAAATGAAACAGCAAACAATTAGAAGAAACAACACAAATTCTGGTTTACGTGATTAAAATTGCAAAAGAAAGCATAGGTGCTATTTTGTAAAAATAAAGCTTTTAATTCAAATATCAAACATGGAGTAGTTAACACATTTTTCTTAGAAAAAACAGGTAGCTGACTATCAAAGGATATTTTTAAGTTGTTAGCTACCTGGGAAAACAAAAGTATTTAACGATAATGGCTTTAAAATTAACTTTGGGGGATCATGAAAAAAACAAAGCAAACCAAAACAAACAGCAAAAATACTTTGAGCTTCAAAAACCCAAATGTAAGAGGTCAAATGTAAAGAAATCATAAAATACTGACGAATGAAGTGTGACTAAAGAGGAAAAGAACCGTAACATCGTTTCACTGACCTCTTCATTTAAATTGCTAACCAGGAGGACTGTGTTGCCACCAGCTGAAACTCCAGGCATTCCCACTCGGCCAGCAGCAGCAGCTGCAGCTGCAGCAGCAGCATTTGGAATTGCCAGAGGACTCAGAGCTCCTGGAACAGCTGCAACAGGAAGCCCTAATTTTAAAATAAAGCATATTTTACGAAACACACACAAGTCGCTTACAAGTACCTGTATCAGTACAAGTGTTGCACACAACACTTTATAAAGCACACCACTGCTAAAGTCATCCAAAGGGTTGTGAAATGAGTTGTTAAGTTAACGTAAGGAAATGTGATTTTCTTTCTAATTCAGGTCAACTTTTCAAAGAAGTGCTGAGGTGTAGCAAGTACTTCCTTTTTAAATAAATGTGGTTCTGCACCAAAACGGTTTCCACTGTACTCCAAAATGTTTTAAGTGTCTAGTTTATCAAAATGGTCTAAAGTAAATGTTGATCGTATCTGTAAGAATAAACACTAACTGTACTCTCTGCATCATCACATCCTTATTTTCCATCATCCTTTGAGATGATCCATTCCTCTCTTCGCTTCAGACCAAATACACAGCGCTGGGGTGGGTCATGTGAAAAGGCCCACATATCAGTCAGAGCCATAGCCTAAAAGAGGTGATGAGACAACCTTCTGAATTCAAGATTCAAGGTAGCACCACTGATTATGCTCTGTGGTTTTTACAATCCAGTTTCCTGAAGAAGCACGTTACCCTTAGTTAAACTTTCAGCTGTGCCTTTACTTTTCTTCCTCCAAGGAACCTCAGATCCTGTAGAGACCTGCTGGTTTTCCCTGCTCAAGTCACTGGGATAACCAGGCAAGTCAATCAGGGTCTGTGAAACATTCTTGTGATACATCCATGGTTTATATAGGAAGAGCTTTATTGTATTTGAGAAATATTTGAGTATGTGTCTGAGTTCAATAAAAGGACACTGACACAGCAAAACGTGTAAAAAGCAATAAAGAAATAGAACTTCAGTATTGTACTGCAATTGGGTTCTCACATTCCAGTATTTTGGCAAACTTTCTAAATTCGGTTTGACCATGCTGAGATAACACAACTTTTGACCAATTCTACAGTATACCAGGTAGACAGCCTAAACACAACCTTTACACTATGTACCTAAGACTACTTTCCTTCCCATAGTAAGTTCTATTTTAAAGGAAGTCATAAGAGAAAACGCATTCTTCAGTTTCAGTCAATGCCTGAATACTAAGTAGACAGTAATAAATGTATCCAACTATTAATTTTAACAAATAACCCCAAAAGGGAACACACAAGGGGACAGAAGAGGGGGGATTAAGCAAACTCACAAATTTTTTTTCCAGTTTTCTACAAAAAATTCTACCTTCATTTTAACTATGTATGTTTTGTTACACAAATTTGTGAAAAATAACTAACTGGGGGAAAAAAAGACAGATTTTGATGGGCTGAACAAACGACCCCTCAAAGGGAACAGAACATCCATCATTACTTCATGATAGTGCTGAACAGTATTACTGATCCAGCCCTGAGAAGTATTTTCTGGTAATTTCCTGTCAAAGATCACACAGAAGAAAAACCAGTAAGTGTTCTAAGAAAGGAAATTAAAGCTATGGAATGCTTTCCCCGATAAAGTTTAAAAGATTAAAAGTGTTTGTATTCAGGGGTCAAACCAGAGGAACAGAAAGTCCCGAGTAAGGACCATTCCAGCTGTCCCTCATGCCACAAGACACAGGGAAAATGTACTTGCATCAAAAGGCAACAAATACCATCTTTTCTTGCATTATATGTGGTAATTGTGGGACTGATTGTAACACGTAAAATGAAGGAAAAACCCCATCTTGTCCTTCTCCTATCCAGCCTGCAAAAACACTGAACAGATTTGAGACTGTATTGATGGTCTATGGAAACGACAGCCAGTTACACTTAAATAAAGTGACACGCGCTTCCTCACATCAACTAAGCACAGCTACCTGGGGGTCAGGAAATCACTGCCCCCAGGTATGTTACTGTATGATCATCCCTTCCGAGGGCTGCTCTAGGTCTTCCATCAGAGAGCTCAGAAGTAACACTGGCTGTCAGAGAGGAAATGAAATTAGACGGACCATTGCGAGTCCAAGCAGAGCAATTTCGGTTCTCAAAATGAACTGAGAAAGTGTAATACTATACACTTACACTAATATAGTATAGTATATTAATAGCAAGACAAATCTAACATAAATACGATGCACGTTTTGCTCTTGGTTTGAAGCCGCAAAATACAGCTTTAGTTTCAAGAACAACTAATAAAGAATGCAGTTAAAGAAAGTACCCCCATGGAAGAAGGAACGAAGTTTATTCCCAAAATCAGACTGAAATACACTGTGAAACCTAGAAATACCAAATTAAACTCCACAAACATCTTTTAAAAAAAATCCAGTTCAGTTCTAAAAAAACATTTTGGAGATGTATTTTTGAGTGCTTCGTATTGCACAGGCTGAATGCCACGTTTATTTACACTCAGCTGCTGTAGAGGTCAGAAAGACACACAGACATGTGAAGAACGACAGAAAGGTCTGATGATGTCCATCCGAAGGGAAACAACTTATTGTACACCAGGTCAACAGCAATCATTTGGGTATCAGAAAATGCCAAGATACCAGAGCATTTCAAATCTACTGTGTCTAAGCACCTCTCCCTAACCTGAGAGTCTTTAAGCTAGGCCAGCATTTTTAGGAATAAAGGAATCTGAACATGACAAGTGACGTTTTTATGGCTCTCTCCATAGTTGGGCAGAGTACAGCTGAGTAATTCATACTTCAAAAGGCAAAATTCTTCGTATCATCAGACTTCTTACAGGACATTCTCTGGTCCCACTGAAGAAGTTTAAAACAAAGATTAATTTAACACTACTCATACAAAAATATTTTCAATTATTATCCTTTGAAATAGATTAACTTAGGAAGAACCTTAAGATGGGGCATTTGTGGAAAGTGCTAATAAAGCAAGCCAGCAGTGACAGCATGGGATAAAGCTGTGGGAGCCCCAATCACATCACCGTATTTCCAGCTGTAGTATTAAACAAATATCTAAATCAGAGTGTTAAAGTAGTATTACATATTAGTATTTGCAATTATAAGTACTTTTTATTTAAAATCTTTTGGTTTGTTGCAGTTCAGTACAATACAATTGCTGTTTATTCAGAAGTTTTTTTTTTCCTGTAAGATTTTTTTGAGGGAGAAGGGGGGGAGAACCTGTGGATCTCTTCGTGTGTCAGGTAAAAAAAATAAAGGAAAAAAAAAACAATCAACCACCTGCTTCTGATAATTCATTTGAAACCAGCCCTTTCTGTCCATCAGTGATTTTCTCCTTCTTTCAAAAGATAACAAGACTCATTGAAAAGATGTCCAATTTACAGTCTCAAAGATTTCTGACACCTTATTTCATCACAGCGGAGGATGCAGTAGACGAATGAGTAATGATGCACGCGGGCTAGGATCATCTATCTGACTGATACGTTTCTAACCGATTACATAGCACACACAGACCTCATTTCTTGGAAAGGTCAGACAAATTACAAACCCACAGAAAACACCGGTCTTGTTCTGTAGGTCTCCACTGCACTCCAATTTGCCATTCTGATTTAATCAAGTCAGCAATTTTCAATAAATAAGAACAGCTTGTATGATGATTATTGGGTTTCATGGAGCACACTGTTTAAGATCTGAGGACTTATCTGAAACTATTTAGCAACGCGAGCTACTTTGTCAACACGATCAACCAGTATTAGACAGCTTTGTCTCTAGCTTTGCTGTAGCTTCCAACAATTACAGGTACCAGGTTTTTGCGGTTTATGGATATTAATGAAAGCACACAAATATTATATACCTTTTTCCTAGCCTTTTGAGGTCTTCTTTTGCCAATGAAGTTTAAACACAGAATGTCACATTATTTATTCCACCTCTGTGTAATTTTTGCACGACCTCCGAGACGCACGTTAACGTCATTTCAGTAAGAGGTAAATTAAAGCTATCCTAAAAGTACATGACAAACTTATGTGTGAAAAGCACAGGCAGCAGGAGTGGTCATCTTAATGCAGGTATGTATAACCGCGACTGAGAACTGGATTTAGTCCCTAGTCCTGTTGTCATGAGCCTTTTTTGTGGCTTTTTATCAAGTAACCACCAACTTTTTGTACTTGGTACTTGCCTGCTTCTTATACTTAGCCTGCATAGGTTTGAAGGAGAGAGCAGGTTCTTTCAAAATCTCTGCATAACCACTTAAGAAGCTGCAAGTGTTACTATACTACATCATAAAGTTATATTTAATGAAGAGGAGGGCTAATTCCATCCAGAAGGAAATTAAAATATGTAATGGTTTGGAATTAATGCAGATTTAAACACCCAGACTAACAAGACTCGCATCTTGTCACTAAAATTCAACTCACAAAATTGTTAAACCTAAACCTCCCTTCTGACACATGAATTACAGTATACTGTTAAAAAGCCAACAACTGAAAGGCAAAAGTTGTACAACTAACCAGCATATAACAGCATAACATAAGCAGAAGTCAAAACTTGCCACATTTTCTGTTAGTGATCTCATTATATACATTTAAGAGAACAGCTACAGCAAGAATTTTAACAAGAATGCCACAGGTTCAACTTATGATATCCTTTTTGAGCATGCAAAAGAACCTGGAGAGCACCACATTAAGCTCCAAATGGAGCTCCGCTCTTTCAAGGAAAAACATGCCCTTTGGGAACCATCTGTGAGCAGGGCACGGCAGACGTTCTGACTGAGCGCGCTCTGAAGGTATCTTTATCGACATTACAGAAATAAGAATTCTAAAGCAAATATAAGAAAATAAAACACCAAGATAAAAGAAAGAAGCAGGAGGAAGGTCACTGCTATCATTCTGCCACATTTCGCACACCAGTTTGCCAACCTCCATCTTGTAACTCTCTGAGCTTTTAAAGTGTTCTCACCCTTTTCGAGTATCTGAATAAAAATGTAGCTATAAATTGCATGCACAAGCATCCATTTAGGCTTCTGAGCTCTTCCTATCCTTTGTCCTTTCTTACTTAAGTCACTTATATTGTATGCTTTTTGCACAGTAAGTAGCCCAGATGAAGAATCCTGTTCTTCCATATTCAAACAAGCACCA